CTCGCTTCTTGCTTTATGGCACCGGACCCCTTGACCGAAGCGAATAGCCTCCATGATCCCAACTTGGAACACGTGTTGCAGGACAAAGAGAGGTTGTATCAGTACTTGTTCGGAGATTCCGTGAGAGGAAGCCATGCTTATCAGTCCACCGCGGAGCCTTCAGGTGAGAATGAGTCTGAGAGGAGGAAGAGGGAGAAGGTAAGGAGAGAGAACAAGATGCCGTGGATGGATGAGTACTGGGGAGTCCTTCAGCCAGAACCAATATACTCAAGGACTCAAAGGTGGTACGTCATTGATGACTTTAAGGAGGGTGAGGAAATTTGCTGCGATTACTGTCTGTTCTGCAATCCCATAGACTTCGAGTTGAAAGATGATTGCTATACGGAATGCATCAACGGAGCAGCAAACAGATGCCGTGGGATGTCCGCAGAAGACTACGTCCAGAAGCGATTTCATGCATGTGCTCGATTGCTTCACAACTTCGGCATGGGGCAAACGGTATCTTCTCCCACCATCGTAATCTCCGAGATGAACCCGCACGATGACTTGATGAAGTTTTTACACGAGGCGATGATCATCTTCAATGAGAATCCAGGTCTCCAGAAGGAGATTTCGTTCTTCGGGGGGATCAGGTTGTCATCAACAATGACGGAGAACTTCTTCAAAACGAGGAGAGGACCCAGCATCCATGTGGAAAAGCAGATAGTCGGCAGCGCCAAGTACTTCCAGGGATCCTATGACCTTGGCAACGTATGCTACACCAAATACCTCAAGGCCATACTGGAACCCGATGTATTCCGCACTATATTCGGAGATGATCCCACGGAGGAACGGGTAGGTGACATGGTGGAAGCGCTGCTGGGCATGTTCGAAATTGCTCAACTCTTCAGGCACATGTTCAGGAGATGGGGTGACATCGAAGCTTTGAGGACGGGATTAGAGGAATCCATCAAACGCGTCACTGCATCGCTGTACGACAGGACAACATATGAGAACCGAAAGCGATCGATGATTAGAACCATGGACCCGCACTCTGATGAGGCGGCAAGCGTGGCGCTGATTCTCGTCCGCATGAGGACTATGCCGCTTCCTGAATTCGACATCGACCACTTCTTCGAAATCGGAAAAGAACCAGAACAGGGAATAGGAGCCACTGGCGAGCCCGAGGCCGAAGGTGTCGATATGGAGACTGAAAGTGTACAGGAGAAGGAGGAGCAAGATGTGGACATGTCCGACCCGAAGACATCAATACTGCATGCCATCGACGAATTTGAGAAGAAGATCGGGCGGGCAGAATTCTGCATCCACTGCATGGAGTCGGGACACACAACTCTCAATTGCGAGAAGACCCTTTCATCCTCACCTACAGTCACCTCGGTGTTGAGTGATTGGAAGAAGAGAGTGAAGGGAGAGGTTGCACCCGACGATGTACCATCAGGACATCCAACCGAACAGCCTAAGAAGAAGAAGCAGAGAGCGTCGCCCACTCCAGATAGAAAGGTCGACAGCGAGTTCAGGCGCAAAGAAATGTTAAAAGCAAGAGTCGTGACAATGTTCGACCATGACGGATTCACCTTGATCGAAAGTGCTGATGGAGTCGAAGGAGGACCACATTCCTACAATGGGCGGAAGCTTGTGGAAGCAGGCCCTAAGGATATGAAAGAGGTGTATGAATTTGTCGAGAAGGCATTTGTGCACTCCAGTTCCCTCACACCAAAGGCATGTCATCACTTCTATCCCCTACCAACACGGAGGGAGAAGGGATACAAGCCGATCGACCCCATGACGATGGTCGGGAAAGTTGAACTAGTACCGATCAACGGAGTCACTTTCGCTGCAAAGAACTCCGACTACGGCAACCACAAGTATCCGACTCCAGACTGTCGAGTACCTGAATACAGCCAAACGAGCCAGGCCCTGAGTCGTCGATTGGGAGCGAAGTTGAGACATCGAATTGGACGCCAGTTCAGGACAGGAGGAAGACTCGCACCAATCAAATGCGATGAAGGCGCATGGGTGTCATGGGAAGACCTGTTAGGTGATAATGCAGTTTGGGAAGACGGTTATCACTACGGCAACATAGATATCGTGACCAAGAAGGCGCGTTTGGAGAAGTGCTTCGACCAAAACTACGAGTGTTTCCGCATGACCAAGAGGGTCAGATTCCAAATGTTGGCGGTCCGCGTTCACCCTGATGAACTCAATGAGCCTGATGACCCGATGGAGAAGGAATGGATTAACGAACTCAAGGACATGGGAATCTCTAAAGGAAGACTCCACCATAGCGATGGATGGTGCTTTCCCGTGGCTGTAAGAGCAACCTCGGCACACTCAACGGACGGCGGAGGTTATGACGTTACCATCGACATCGACCACATTGGGTCGAGAATGACCAACGACATGGCCCTATCTATGGTGACTGCATTTCACGCTACCAATCTCGGAGCGCTGACTTCAATCATGCGACGAGGGCTAGTGCCGGGAGGTCTCGGTTCATCGGGAAGGGATTCTATCCACTTCACATGTTTTCCGCCATGGGCCTGGGAGCAGGGCTACAAGGGTAAACCTTGGCTGGGTCATAAGGTCGCAATGAGGGATCGCCCAGTGGTTCTCTACATTCCGGTGTGGAAGCTGCAGGACTTCTCATCTCAGCGACTGGGTCTCTATTGGTTGAGAACGTCGTTCCCTTCGATGAGGTTAAAGGGGCATGGTTGCAATGCGACAATGCGGAACCCGGACAGCCTGAGAAGATCGAATGGATCCGGTTACTCAGTGGGGAACCCGACCCTGGAAGCTACCTTGTTCTAGAGTCCAAATACGGAAACCCGATCATGATTCCACGCTTTCAAAAGCTTGAGAGCTTAGCGGTTGAGGTTCAGGACGATACCTACTCCGAGGACGACGCCAAAATCTCAAAGCTGTTGGGTATGATCGAGGAGAGTGGTGTTTACCCAGAATATGATAGCACCGAGTGGCAGGAACTCTTCGAGGAGATCGTGTACCGCCGAGCGATGAAAGACTATGATTCAAGGCCGTGTCCTAACTGTCTTGGCGAAGTCGATGTGCGATTGACGATATGTCCGCACTGCGTAGCGGTTTTGATCGCGAATGGGAAGCTCACGCATGTGGTACCCAAGGAGACAAGGGACCGCAATCAACGATCACCTCCGAAAGATGTCCCAGCCAGTTCTTCCGGTGAAACAACCTCTGCTGCAGGTGCAAACATCGATGAAGTCATCAAGAACGCACGCAAGACAGCCGAAGAGGTCATTGAGATCGAGGAATCCGAAGGAGAGGAAGAGGAGGAAGTTCCTATCATTTTGAAGGAACGACCGGACGAAGCTGAAGGCGAGCCCGAGTATCGGGAGGTCCCTCAAGATGGATACGGGAATGAACTTCCGAAGCCTTTCCCCTTCGCAATTGACGAATTGCCGCAAGAAGCTGCGATCCCCATCGACCACAACTTTGCCGTCACACAGCAATTTGATCTGAGGTTGATGAAGTTGATCAAGGGCTTGGCCAACGCAACGTTCGACATCAACTGCTTTGAGAGTCGTGAAGATGTACTACGAATGTTCGACGATGGACAGCGGCATGACACTCCGCACAATAGATGGCCAATAGTACCGAAAGATCCGGATACTGGGTTTCCAAGACGTCTCAAGAGAGCCGAGGTCGTAGGTATGAGCAGATGGACCGACGACGTGTTTGCAGCAGAAGCGTGGCAGATCTATGAATTCCACGCCAATGTTGTTCATCCGATGATGATCACTGCAATCCGCTGCGGGCTTAGCCACAAGTACCTCAAAGAGGTCGGCAGCACTCAGCGCAGCACGAGTGATCCAAAGGCTCGAAAGTCTGAGACCCAGGATGAGATCATCGAGAAATTGGCATTCATCTCAAATTTCATCAGACGCATGATCAAGAAGACCTTCGGAGCGAGCCGATATAGTTACTACCAGAAACCAGATGACGAAAGTGCCGCTCCATACAAATTCATCGACATTAGTCCCGCCATCAAATCGGAGAGGAAGAATGTCACGAAGGAGATCCTCGTTGCATGCCGCTACTATGGCATAGAGGTATCCGATATCCAAGAAAGGAAATTGAAGTCCTTCGAGGAGCAGATCCGAGCGGGAAATCCAAGGAACGTTGAGCTCATCAAGGACTACATTGGCTTTGTCGGCGCTGACTACATGCGACAACTCACGAATGGTTGAGCATTGGGGTCATACCGACATGCTACTTCCGGTACTTCAAGTACTGAGGGATCGCGGGTAATTCATGATGACCGTTTTGGCATCATGGGAGCGAGATAGGATTGTGTCTCACACCGTTGGTAATCGCATGATACCATAGGTAGGTGCACGTTTTCCGCTTGTAGCTCCATTGCCTGTTTGATCCAACTTTCAAGCGAATGCAAGATCTTTTGCTAATTCAATTCAATAGGACATACTGGTTGACCTCCAATACACTTTTGAGAACGTGATTCGTTCTCCGGTTTTTACATCCACTCATCTCCCTTCCCCGTCGAAGTACGGATGTGGGGGGTGTCAATAGGGATGGGGTCCCAGTATAGTCGCTAAACAGGTACATGCCATATACTTTTGGCTCAAGTGCCCAACCAGGTAAAAAGGAGCTTTAGCGCGCGAGCTTCATGTTGACCTAAGAGCTAGAACGGGGCCAGGGCACACCTTTCCATCCGTTCGCAGGCATCAAGACAGGACATACCTGGACACACAAGGGGTGGTTAATGGACACCCCGGTGTCCTGGTAATTGTTTCTTTCAACATGCTCAGCCTTTCCAAATCTCAAATCCTCAGAGTCACATGGCAGATCGCGAACCAAAAGGCCCTGACGCGTGCCTTTTGAACCTTAGAGCAGGGTTTTGTGTTGCTCCCCGCTTTTCCTCACTTGAACTGGCCAGGAGTCCGCCTCCCCCAGTCTAGACAGTGAAATTTCGAAGGGCCTGCAGACTTCGCAGAGAATCCGCAGCGCAGGCGCCAAGGACTTCAAGGGCGTCTTCGACCCTCACTTCTTAGTCTTCGAATTTGTCACTGGCTTTCTCCTACGGCCTCGCCAGGCGTGGGTGGGTGCTGGAGGAGGGTTACTATTTGGTGGCGGATTCAGCTAACTATAGAATAAGAGCAACCTCCTCTTTTGTTGAAGGAGCTGCATGGGATCAAGGCTTTCATGGAAACTGGGCATGGTTTTGATATGTTTTGATACTTTCAGGATCTTTCAGGGTTCGCTTGTGACCAGCGGGTAGCAGGATGTCTAGCCGGATTTTACTCAAAACATCTTCTGCACTGGACTCGTCTGCGCTTTGTTGGGTTTGGGTGAACCCCTCGTGCCTTCTGGGGGGTCGATGGATCGAGGGATCTGCGAGTGCCCATCGGACAGATCACTCGACGCCCGGGGGTCGTTTGGTCGGCACTCAGTGGTTAGATGGGTTGAGACCTCAAACCGAGAGATCGAATCTGCTTCATAGATCGAGTGATTTAGAGTGATCATGATTGATGTAGAGTGCTCCCATCTCCTCGTTTTTCACATCGTTTTTAACACACCATTCGTGAGGTTGTTATGGGTGCAGGTGGAGATGGTCAACGAGTTCTCTGAGGCCTTGCGATCAGGCCACGACCGGTGGGTGAAACGCGGAGCCTCGCGGAAAACCCAAACCGGTGAGCCTCGCGTGTTTTCCGAAGCGGAAAGAGGCCCAAGTAGACCCGGTCGAATGAACGAGAGCTGTGGTGTTTGGGAAGGTTTTGGGAAGGTTTTGGATGAGCTTCTTTGGGTTCGCACGGATGTTCAGCGGGGATGGTGAGTGCATGGGCAGAGTTTGAAAGGAATTGGGGGGGGCTGGAGATGGACGAAAGCTCTTGATATATATCAATTGTGTCCCTTTTGAATGTGGATTTACTGATCTGTCATGCTGCCATGCCGAGTCTAAGCATGCGATTCTACTTGAGGACTCAAGCCACAGGGCCCGGGCCGCACGTCGGGGGCGGTTCAGCCGCCGTGCGGCGCACCGAGTAGGGCGGTGCCATGTTGGTCCGACTTGACCAGCCCTACGTGTCACCAGCCCTGTCAGTGAAGCCTAGAGAAATCTACTGACTTGAGCCGAACAAAAGCTAGCCCCACGCGAACGCTCTCGTTTCTTCGTGCGAACAACAAGTCCAAACCACCACCACTCCGAGCCTCTTCCGAGCCATGGCTCCCGCCGCGATGGCTCAAACCGCTTTCCATTCCGGTCAGTCGGCTCAGTCGGCTCGCCGACTGACGAAACGAGCCTCGTCGTTCTTCGTGGCTCGTTGCCGAGCGCGTGGACCAGCGCCCTTCGCCCCGCGCCGTGCTCGCAGGTCGGTCCAGTGTAAAGCAGATGATCATGGGCGCGGGCAAGACCTCGGTGGTCTCACCCTTGCGACCTGGCCCGCCATCACTCGGTCAACGAACGCCATGGCGGACTCGAGCAGTCCGGACGAACGCCCGTGGTCGTGGTTGGTCTGCGAGTGATGTCCGGTCGATGTTCCAGTGAGGTCCGGTCGGACCGTCAGGGTGGCTCGGGCTTCTTTTGAAAGCAGCAACCAGGAGTCTTCAAAGGGGTGGTGATTAGTCCCATCCAGTGAGTGGATAATGGGCACCCCGAACCTCCATCGATAGCACCCCTTTGTGACTGCTGGAGGGTAGTTCCTTTTTTGGCTGAACAGGGCGCGTATATGGATGCGTGCGTTGTGGGTGAACTTCGGGGCGAGGCCCGGGCCCCACACTGTGATGAGTCATTTCGACTTCAAACCTTTTGGACACTTGACGAGACTGTTGCTCACCATTCCAATTTGAGACGTCATGTGTACAGGCTGCTCCCATAAACAAATGCTAATACATCGAGGGAAGAACACGACACTTTGGTTGGCGTCCTACCTGGTTACCTATTAAAAGAACATGTCGGTGAAGGAAGCGACCTACGTTGATCTCTAGTGCTCCTTCTCTGTCTCCTACTTCGTGAAACCCGCGTGCGTGGCACGAGCCGCCGCTCCTTCGAACCCCACCGCGTGGTGGACCGGGGAGCCTCCTGCGCCCCGCGCCCACGACCTGCGCAACCCCCACGACGCGCACGACCCGCACGACGCGCGACGCGCGTTGAGGTTGGCCTTGATGCACGCGAACGGCAGCCGCATCGTGTGTTTGGTGGTGCCACCAGCACTCATCAGCCTTTCCCGCTCGGTGCTGCAGAGACTCGGATTGCGAGAGGGGTCCCAGTGGTCCCTGTTTTGGGTGAGGTGTTTCTAGGAAAATGGATGAACATGGTTCAAAGCAGGTGAAGGATGGTCTGACAAAGGAGACCATATGGTAGTGGAATATATGTAGTGGTATGGTGCAACAAGGTGCAACAAAGAAAAAGGCTGTGTGTGCTGACTCATTGTGGTGTGTGTTGATTCAGCCCTGCTCCGCGCCATCCGAACATCCGCTCCGTTCCGCTCCGCCCTGCTCCGACGCCACGAGGAATTGCTTTTCCACGGTGGTGCAGAAGAGGGTCTCAACCTTCAAGTGCGATCGTTCGCTAGACCTGGAGGTCGGGAGCACCATGTGGACAGCGGCACATGGGGCTCAGGTCTGGACCAGATGGGACAGTGTCTAGGACGAAACAGGTGGGATCTGATTCTGTGATGCTTGGGGGACGGCGTTTAGGGCACATGTGGGGCACCCGGAGGAGGGGCAAATGGACACATGGATGGACCATCACATTTCTGTGATGTTTGGGAGGTGAGGTAGGCCACCATGACATGGTGGGTCAGTTTTTTCATCAAAGCTTCCCTTCCTAGGCCTAGGCAGGCTCTGTTGGCCTATTAATAGCCTGAACAGAAGAAATGTCCTTTCTTCTTCAGAAAGGAGAAACAGAACCAGAAGTAGTACCAGCAGTTCGTCGGGCTTCACAATGGGTGTCCTCCCAGGATCCACTCACTTAGGGCGTCTCCAACCACTCACTTAGCGGAAACTCCGAGCGTCGTCCCCTGCCTCTGCCGCCCAGCGCCCCTGCCGCCGCCAGCACGCACCGCACTGCACCGCCGCACAGGTGGCGCTCTCCGAGCGCTTGGGGCGGATCGTCAGCCATGGCCGGGGGTCCCAACGCCGGTGCGAGCGGAGTCAGCGTCTGAGCTCGAGGATGAAAAACGCTGCAGCTTTCACGGGATGTGCAGAAGATTTGGACGAATGAAGTTCTCTCTCACGAAGTTTGGGACTTTTGGACCGCACCTTTTTTTGTACGAACCACATGGACTGGATGTTGATGATGCACAGAGTTGGTGATATGACTTTCGAGTTTTGCAGACCATTGAGGGGGGCCCAAAAGCCAAGAGCACGCTGCGTCTTATGTAGTGTGTCATGTACACTGAGAGCCTAAATGACTCATTTTACCACTACGATAGGGGGTGAATGATTTCTACTACTGCATGGGGTGTTCAGTGAGTCAAAACGGAAACAGGTGTGGTGTACGTAGTGTGTCACAGAACCCTTAACTTCTTACCCTTCTCCTGCATCCGAGCCGATTCGGGCACCGCCGGCCGAAACCCACGAGGCGATGAACTCGAGCGTCTTTCTCGGACGCGACCTGCACCCAGACCTCAAAGTCTCACGCATCACAATCTGACGAATCCCATCAATTCCCAGACGCGACCCGAAGAAGGACTGCCATGTCGGACTGCCATGCCGGACTGCAGAAACGGCTAGGGGTGGTGCCAGAAGGGTCGGCGGCAGTCCGACATGGCAGTCCCAGACAGGTCGTGTCTGGGTTACTAAAGCTGTGCCACATGTTTGTCAGGAAGACCCGGATGGCACCACTGGGCCAAGGGTTTTCATGGCACCACTCTGGCATGAAAACTCCTGGATGGTCTATTGACTCGCTCCCCTTCCACATCTCAACTCCTTCCTCCACGGCCCGCTGACCACTCCGGCAGGCGATGTGCTGCTGACCACTCCGGGGGACGTCAAGTCCTTGGAACTGCGTTTCCTGGAGCAGCTAGACTTGGCCAACGACCGCCAGGCCAGGCGCAACACCACGCAGATGAGGAGATGGCGAGGGCAGCATGGGTGGAGAACGTGGCTTTCACGCGGGCGGAGGAAGAGTAGGTTTGGGGGGTCAGAGAATTTCGAGTCGGTTTGATGTCAGATTTCTTTGAGAACCGGGAGCAACTCTTTGCTTGGCATCGGGTATCTGAGACTCACACCAAAAAGACATCTGAGTATTGTTCAGAACCGAGCATGTTCAAATGAAGGACAGGGTCATGAGGACACTGTGAGTAAGCGAAACCCTGACATTTCGTAAGATTCCTTCCTTGTTGCTGCGCGCGTGAAGAGAAGGAGTTTGGACAGTTTTGTCACCCTGCGAGGAGAGAGTGTGTGCAGATGGGACGTGCTTTGGAGCTCATGAAGCAGGGCGTTTGTGCCCCGACAAAAAGAAATCGATGGGGGCAGGTCGGTGGAAGAAAAGACATGCTGGAAACCATGGCTTTCATCACCGAAAAGCTCCAGGAAACGTGCATGTGTCTTTTGCGTGCCTGCACATCCTGGTAGAAGTTATATATATATATATAGCTACCAGGAGCCTCCTGTCGGGGTGTCTATTTATAGCCCGTTAGCTGTTAAGGGGTGTCCATTAACCACCCCTTGAAGGCCCTGGTATTTGTCCCTTTGTTTTGCTTCAAACGTCACCGTCTCACACGCCCCTTGGTGGACTGAGTGAGTGGCCCTTGCGGCCAGACGCGAACTCGGTGGCCGGTTCGTTTTGGGGTTCCTTCGATGCTCGGAGAAAACCGCCCTGTTCTGCCTTTGAAAACCGCCCCAGGTATGATTGATGAGGTGGACTTAGTGCTGCATCCCTTGCGTTCGGAGCTGAACTTCCCCATTGGACCCAAGAACCTCATTGAGCATGCGCCGGACTCTTGGCATCCAATCAGAACGGTTTCAAGGCTGGAAGACGTCCTAGCATGTTTCAAGAACACCTAGCAGGTTTCATGATCCCAGGTCCCTCCAAACCATCTCCAAAGAACTCCAAACGGTCCCTCCAAACCGGGATTTGAACGGCTGGACCCCCTCCAATATGAGGGTTCCGGCCCCTACTTTTCACGGAGGGTCCAGGAGTGTTTGGGATCAAAACTTGGTTCAGAGAATCGATCGTGGCCAACCCAGCTTGGAGACTCAGACTCTGCGCATGGACGACTGGGTGAAGCATAGCTGGGGCTATGAAAGAACACATGTAGAACAAAGCAACCTTGATTTCTGCAAAGCAGTCACGTCATTGCTTGCTACATACCCTCCAGAACTGTGCCCATCCAGCAGCTCCATGATTCCTTGTCCAATAGACCACCAGCAGGCTTTGTCTCCCATCAGCTCCACCAAGCAGTACAAACCCGCCGCCTCCGCTTGTAGTACTGCCCAGGAACGGTGGCGTGCAGTGCTTCACTTGTTGGACGGTTTCTTCAGTGTGGAGAAGGGCCGCGTGCCGCCGCATTTGAAGGATTCCTTGAGAGCCAAGGAGTGTCTCGCTAGCCAAGGGGACCGGACCTGTTGTTTTAACCCGAGTGAGATGGGTCACATCCACCGAACACCGAAGAGAAGGAACACAATTGACAAGTACCCGTGAAAAAGGAAGAATTTATTTGTTTTTCTTTGCGGGGAGGACTGTGAAACCTGTGGAACAGCTCATATACACCATGGAACCACAGAGTTTTCTCAGGTCGGTGTGGAACCTGGGGAGGAACCACAGCTTGGTGTGGAACCCTTTGTTTTCTCTGAGTTCACCCAGTTCACCCAACTCTCGAACCACCGAACTCGCTGAACCCGTGGTCGACCTCGCCGTCCGAGTTCACCTCGGAGCTGCACTGAAGCACCGATTTCGGTCGACCTAACACCATAGGCTTTCGCATGGGAGGGAAGGGCCTGGAGATTTTGAGGGCAAGAGTGAGGGGCAAGTGAATTCCGGCTGTTGGCAGCTTGACCTGGTGATATGATAGGATGATAGGATGACTTCTTCTGAGGATTCTGCAGACTTTGGGGGGAGGTGATCCACAAGGGCTGCGACCTGCGCTTCTTGCAGCGGAACCCGCACCTGATTTTGCTGAACGAGGAGTTCTACCACCACGAGGTGCAGCCTGTCTGGCCCCCCAAAGGCAACAGGAGCAGGTGGGTGTGACTGACCCGGGAGCTGGTGGAACTCGTGAGGAGGACGGCGTGCCATCTCCCGAAGACACTCATACCAGGGACTTTTGAAGTCAAAAAGCCTCCATTTCGGAGACTCGTTGGGTCGGGTTGTATGTTGTTTTTGAATTTCTCTTTGTTTATACTAAGATCGTTTCAGAAGGGATGCACTTTCGGAAGCTTTCCAAGGGCAGCACTTTTGTGGTCACTTCGGCTTCGTGGATCATGTTTCGTTGTTCCGGGCTCGGAACAAGGGGCACTCCAAGAAAAACGCCCAGGGCTCTCATGTTCGCCTCAGCAGGTGAAGCCCATGATGTGTGACTGGCTGATGCTGTGGCCCCTTGGAGATGTCCGTCCGCGCCAGGCCACCTCTTTGGGTCCCTCCCGGGTCGGTCCGCCCGCCCCACGGTCGGCGCGCGGCTCCCCATGGGGTGGGCCAGCCCAACCCCGCAACGTTTCGGGGCGAAAACGACAGAGGTGTGAGGGCTATACAGGAGCAGGGTTAAGCCGAGGGGATGAGTGGTTTTTTTCGGTTTTGGGGTAAACCGGGACTCTTCGAGGGTCCAGGATTGGTCTCGTGAGCTCAACAGGCCATGCCAGCCACAATGTCTACACATCGGGAAAGTGAAGACACAGGCTCACCAAGCATCCAAAGGCATCTTTTCCTTGGACTCTGGTCATGAAAAGCATTTCTTCGGTCGTCAGAACATGCCAAGCTTGGCGCACAAGAGCTCCGACTGGCTGAGGTTGTCTTCGGAGCATGCCATGACCTCAGCGATGGGTGTACCAGCCAGCTCCACCTTGAAACCATGCCAAAAACTTAACAAAGGAAGAATAGGGAGATTACTGGGATCCTTGGTTGAGTGATGTTGAGTGTCAATTCCAGGTCTCAACATGAACCTGATGGGCGTTTTTATCTCAACTACTGAAAGGTTGTCTCCTCAAAGAGGTATCACACGGGTCTCTTGTGATTCCAATATCAGGAGGCTCTGTCTTGAAAACTGCAAAAGACCATCAAACACCTATAGGCCTATAGGCATGGGAAAATCCATCCGGCAGGACATCACGTTTGAAAAAGAAGAACACCATCTGCATCCCTCCGGAGCTCCTGTGAGGTCGGTCGGGCTTTTGAACAGGCCAGCGGCAACCGAGAGGTGCGCCATGCGCGTGCGCCATGCGCATCCAATTCGGCCTGCGCATGACGCGTGACCCGCGCGCGGGTCGCGCAGGTTGGGGTGTGTTGTGGGAGTTTCCCAGAAGTGATGTTAGGAGTTGGTCATTGGTTTTCGGAGTTTCCAGAAGTTATGCATTCTTCAGCTAGTAGTCGAATATTTCTGACCGCATTTGTGCACATCCATGAAGCATGATAGCTGTAGGAGGTCTTACAGGACGATTTCCAAATCCCCAAGTGAGGCATACATCAAGCCGAAGTACCGTTGGTTTCCAGAGTTGGGGCGGGACATGGATGACAAAGCCTGCTCCAAGCTTACCAGTGATAGACAGAGTCATACCTGGATCTTCCAACTATGCAGAATTTCTGCCTTTTCATCCATGAAACACAGCCAAGGTTGGCAGAAATTGGGCATAGTTGACAAGATCCAGGTATATGATGAGATGGGTTGGGTGCTCGACCCCTCTGTGCATTTTGGGAACCATCTCACCTCTTTACTCACCAAATGGATTTGTATTTGAAAGCAGAATCTCCAGTGGTCCAATCACGGAAGGTCCTCCCGCATGAGGGCGGATTCCAGAGGCATGTGTATCATCACTTTCCTAACACAAACACCAAAAAGCCTCCTCCGCAGCCCCAGCTCAACTCGAAAAAAAGTTTCGCCAGCTGGGATAGCTGGCAGCCTTTCCAAAGAGTCAAAAACCTCCAGACTGCCCCAGCAGAGGGCTCTGACTAAGCAGTTGCAGTTACATGACCGCTAACCGCGTTGCTCAGCCGACCGGCAGGACCGCGGGCTTTCGGAGGATGAGGTTCGTGCCTACTTGCTGCACCGGGTCACGCCTCAACGCTTGGAGGTGGAAGCGCCCATGGAGGCCAGGGCGAGTACCGCACTGACTGACGGACTGACAAAGATCCTACGAGCTGCTTCCAAGGGGCTACCAATGGACAGCCCTACACTGCTTATAGGTCACCATTGGAGACCCGTTGGAAGCGCTAAGTAGAACCATTCCATGTCCATTCCATTCCATTTCCATTCCATGCTCCTCCATGTGGTCTGCAAAAATCTGACATTCTCAGAGGCTGGGATGGCATGGCATGGTATGGCTATGGATATTTCAGGATATTGATCCCATACACTCCGGAATATATGCCATACATTGACCCCCCCCCAGTCAACCACCCCTGGCCGTTTCTCGGCAGTCCGGCACCCCCCGTGTCTGGGGATGGCATGGCCCCGAGTTCCGAGGGATCAGCTGGAACCACACTCCCTCACAAGCCTTCGAGTCAGGAGGTGGATGCCCGTTACGGCCCCTTTTCTTCGGATGACCAGGACATTTCGAAGACCAGGTGAATTAGATGAGGATCCCATGATGTCAGCAAGTCGGACTCCTTGTCATTGGACGACAGGAGATTTCAAGTGATGACTCTGATCTGATTCTGCGATTCGCTTTTCTCGGGTCGGGACGGCCACCCATCCAGGTGTGGCAAGCCTGTCTCGCGCGGGCCGGTGGCGGCAGTGCGGCCGCTCGTTCCTCGAGCGCATGGATCAATGAGGTGCTCAAAGGTGACTTGGTCCGTGACCCCCGATGTGTCCAACGTGACAAGAACAGGGACTCCGCGCAAGGGTGGACCGCCTCCTTCCTTTGTGTTTGTTCGCGCGTTTCGGCATGCAAGTAAAGGCTTGAAAACAGGACAATCACCTTCAATCCGCCTGAAAAGGGACGTTGAGGACTGAACACTTTAGAGAAGCCTCATCTCATCACACTTTGGAGAAGGGAAAGACTTCCGACTTGCAGTCTACCAAGCTCGTTGGTTCAGTAGGCTTATCAGGTTGCTAGGCATCTGCTGATGCAGCACTGAACCCTTCGTGCATGGCATGTGGGAGCCATGTCGTACCAGTTGAAGAGTTTTTGACCCACAAGGCTCTGTCGACTCTCCAGCCATTCGCCGGCTTCAACCCTGGTCTGGCTGATGGTGGGGGTCGAGCAAAACGGAAGGTTGAAAAAGGGAATGGGAGTGGTTGACAGTGGAAGGGGACCGCATGAGTTTTTCGACACTCGATCTGTGACCAGAAAGCCAGACCCCAGACCAAATGCCTCAAAATCCACACGAACCGATCGCCTGAGCACGAACGAACCGATCGTCTCGCCTCTTCCTCTGCGTCAGACGTCTCATCGAAGGCCTCAGCCGAACGAACCGGCCGAACGCCGAAGCCGGTTTCGTCCCTCTCAGGTGCTGTGGGCACCAAGGCAGGGCCACACCGCTTGGAGCTGCCACGACCAGACATTGGAGGCTCCCTCGCCGTGCGGTCTGCGGCGCGGGTGGAGCGGTCGGAGCAGTGCGGAGCGGGCGCGAAGTCGGTGAAAGTGGGAGGCGCCTGAGGTTCCATGAGCATGAAGATTTGTGTCTTGAAGCCCCCCAGATTTGAGGGCAAGAAAAGATGCTACTTGAATACATAAGAATACCCGAATACCCTTCAATCAATCCAAACTCATCCCTTTTCTGGAACACCCAGCTCTGAAAATCTTGCCATCCAAAACCAGCACCTTCCAGCTGGAGGTGGTGTTTTGGTCCTTCAAAAAGGTGCTTTCTGCTGGGCACCTTCAAGGAAAGCCACCAACACCTCGGTTCGGAGGGTCGAGAGCCCTCCCTCTCCAGGTGCAGTGTCCTTCGAGCCAGTGGCACGGTCAGACTACGTGGCCACTCGCGTGGAAGCCACCAGCTCGGGACAAGTGCGCGTCTTGCTGGAAGAAACGGAGGACAGGTGGACACAGGTGAACACAGGTGGATGCAGATGGAAGCAATTTGCTGATGTACAGTCCCTGAAAAGTATCTATGGTTGAAGTGGAAACAGAACCACCGAACTTTAGTGAACTAGATTGGCTTGGAGGTAAGCCTAGAACAGAGTCTGATTTCTTTTGAGTTGCAAGTCTTTGTTTGAATCTACGATCTTCTTTCCATCCAAAAGCACATCAGATGATGACCTCCAGCTGCCTAATCCCCGGCAGCTTGACCTTCCTAGTCTATTCATGTCGTCTATTCTATTCTCTTCCATGTTCGCTCATGTTCATCCATTTTCCCCCAAACACCTCACGCACGCATTCGCATGGCCTCGCGTGGCTCCGAAGCAGGAGGGTGCTCGGCAACGCGGCGAGCGGGTGGAGCGCCTCCCAGCGAAGGACGCCAAGTCGATGAACTTGACCCTTGGCCTCGCTGTGTACACGTTTCGCGTTGACGCGCCGTCGACAGGACGACACGCTGAGATCCTTTTTCGGCCGAGGTAGGGTCTCCGGAAGGAGTGGCTCCCGCAAAAAGAAGTGGGTGTGTATTAACAGAACATACATATATACCAAGAGTCACAAAGGGGTGGGGTTTAGTCCCATCCAGTGAGTGGAGTAGCTGGCCACCCCGAACCTCCATCGATAGCATCCCGTCTTGTGACTGGTAGGGAGATCTTCCAAAGACCTCTGAAAGAAAGAATATCGATCCCAGGGGGGTCTATAATTGAAACATACACACACTCAACTGGGTGTTCTTCCCGAAGAGTTCCGCTTTGGCCCGCGCCATGGGTCCAACACCCGGGAGATCGTCAGGTCCGGCGGCGGGTAGTCAGTCAGACTAGAGAGTTCCGTCAGGGGGCGGGTGAACCGCGGCGCCGGTGGAGCGGTGAAGGTGAAAGAGCCACCTTCGAAGAGTACTTCGAATGGTTCCCATGCCGGAATCCATGCTGCGACAGATTCGGACATGAACCGGCTATGGGGCCCTGGGGATGAATGACAAGAGCCGGCAGGTGGTGCCGCAGATGAATCATGAAGCATCACAAAAAGCACCCCACCCCAAACCCACGTATTAAGTTGTGAGACCTGGCACAATCAACCTCTGCAGAAGTTTTTTCACACTCCGAAAGGGAGAGCTGCGGAGCTGGTTCATTCCAGAACTGAGGAGTTGGGATTGGCTCCAGGCGACTCTGGACCGGACCCGGGTTGGGTTTGAAGCATCACACCGGACGGACAGCCTGTTGTGCACGGGTGCACGGGTTCTTCGGTTCATGAAGGAGAGCACCTTCACACAGGATTCTTGAGGTGCCTTCACTTGTGGCTGTGATTTTGTGTTTTGGGGGGACCCCGGACTGGCCCTGTCTGGGCAGTCTGGTCATGTTCGGACTATATTTCCCGAACCAAACCCAGAGGGTCGATGAACAGGGGTCGGTCTTTGTCTCCCTATTTTAAGACACACCCAAGACACACGGCAGGCACGTTCATGTTGGTTTCATCAAAGAGGGGTTCTCCTGAATGTCATGCTCTTGGTTTAGGTTGCTCACTTTTTTTCATGATGCTTGACTTGAAGTCGTATGTCAACCGCTCATTTTCTCATTTTCGGACTTGAAGTTGGTGTCCAAGCCCTTCTTTAAGTCTTTGAGATGATAGCAGGGTGAAGTTTGATGCTAGGAGACTCACCTCACTCTAGGTCTCTAGGTGACACGGCCAAAGATTCTTCCCAACTCTTCAGTGTCCAGCCCTCAGAGGTAGTTCACCAGAACCAAGTCGGACAAGGCTCATGGGAAGCTGGTCCCAGCGATGCCCAGCTCTGAAGTTGGGAACAGGTCTACCTGCCCTTCAGCTTACAGAAGATCGACCGCGTCACCTTCGGAATCATGTCCTCTGAGCAGGCAGGGCATGGCAGTGCTCCTAGCTGCACGGTGGAACGATGTCAGACGGGGCCCCGCAAGGCAGACGGAGTGCACGACCTGGTCGGCCAGAGCATGTCACCGGGGAGGGTACGTGTGAACGTGAACCACGAGCACCATGGAACAGCTTCAGGAAGAACTGCGGTGATGAATTGGAGAGGCTTGTTCCCATGAAAGACGCACCTCAATCCATCTGGATACAGTCTCTGAATATCTCTGATGTGTTTTTTTCTTTTTGTCTTCATCTTCCGGTGATTTTTTTGGATCAAGGTGA